GGCGCGGTGGGGCCGGCCGCACGGCGGGAAGCGCGGCCCGCGAGGGAGGAAGTGGCGCCGGCACGGCGGCTGCTGTGCTGGGCGGCTGGAAGCGGCTACGGGGCATGGGCCGAGCTGAGGCCATGGCTGCCTACCTGGCTCTGGCGGCGCAGTGTCCAGGGTTCGGCGCTGCTCGGTATGACGTTCTGGAGCTGAGCACGGTGAGGGGGAGAAGGGAGAGGGGACTCTGGTGGCCCAAGCCCACACCTTTGCCACAGAGCCACAGGGCCCCACTGTGGGTCACTTCACTCCCTACATCCAGCACAGCTGCCCATGTCAAACCCCAGAGTCGCTGGCCCCTGGGCCCTCCCTCTCTGGAGCCTTACCCCCCTGCTCACATGCACTGTGGATCACAGGGGGTAACGGAAACTCCCTCCCTGTTCACAGCCATCTCCCCCCACGAAAAATAATGTTGCAGGGTCCCCTCCCTCCACCCTGACTCTGCCTGTCTGTGGGCAGGAGCCTGGTGGGGGCGCTCCACAGAAGCTATGCCTGGGCCTGGGAGCCAAGACCATGTCCCTCTCGCGACCGGGTGAGACAGAGCCCATCCACAGTGTCAGCTATGGCCATGTGGCCGCCTGCCAGCTAATGGGCCCCCACACCCTGGCATTGAGGATGGGAGAGAGCCAGCTCCTCCTGCAGAGTCCCCAGGTGAGTGGGAAGAGGGTGTGGAAAAAGAAAAGGAAAGGATCTCAAGAAACATTTATTATGCACTGAGCATGGGCCAGGTACAGTTCTAGGCCCTGGGAATCCAGCACTGATCAAAGACAAGCTCAGGGAGCTTACATTAGAGTGGGAGAGTCAGACACTAAACAAGGAATCAGACTACTTAAGGTAGGGATAAATGCCCACAGGAAAAGGTAGCATGACAGGAAGTGACTGGAGGGGGCCGCAGCATTAGGTAGGATGGTCAGGAAAGGATACTTAGAGAAGGAGACATTTAAGCTAGCCATAGGAAGATCTGCAGGAACAGCATTCCAGGTAGAGGGAATTGCAAGTGCAAAGGCTCTCAGATAAGAATAAATTTCGCATATTAGCAGAGCAGAAAGAAGCAAGTGTGACTGGCACCTAGTGAAGGAGGGAGAGAATGATGATGAGGAAGGAAAGGTTGCAGGGGGCAGCTCATGGAAGGCCTTGGTAAGGAGCCTGGGTAGAGAATGAGACAAAGAGAACCCGGTGGCCCCCGTGGCACTCTGACCTCTGCCCTCTCTTAGGTGGAAGAGATCATGCAGCTGGTGAATGCCTACTTGGCCAACCCCTCCCTTGAGAGGCCCTGCAGCAGCCCTTCTCCTCCACGCCAAGACCTGCCAGACACCTCCCCTCCCAGCCAGCACCCGGGCCTGGACGAGCCCCAGGGACAGTCTGGCTGTTTGGGGCAGCTGCAGGACTGAGCCTGCCAAGAGGTCATGACCTCCCTCCTGCCTCCAGCCTGGACCTGGACTGTTCTGCGATTTGAGGGAATCATGGACCCTTTTGGCCCTGCAGGGACAGGGCACACCTCACACCCAAGGGCTGCCATGGGTGCAGACAATTTTCTAGTTTGTTTCTTAATTTATTTGTAGAAGAGAAGCAAAAAAATCCTTATTTACACAAACCTTCCTGTGGGAGTGTTGTCAGTGGGACAAGTTGGAGCCCTATAGCTCAGAGCTCCACCCCTGGGGAGGCCCACCCTCTGGGCTTTGACCAGCACTAAGGGGAGTTGACACCACAGGGCTCCACCCTCCTTGACCTTCTGGATTTAACCTCCTCCTCGCCAGTATGCTGCCATAGGGTGGTGGGTGGGGCAAGCAAGAGGGCAGTTTTGGAAGCTGGCAATTACTTACCCTCTCTTCTCCATTGAGTGGCATAGGGGTGGCCTCCTGGCATCCCTGAGGCCAGAAGGCGGTGAGTCATCAGGACTGGCACTACCCAGTTCCTATCCTGGTGTCCAGCTTCTGGACCCTGGTTGGGTCCATCTTTGGTGCGCCTACTGCTTTGGGCCTAGAATGGAGAGAAGCTTGGGGCAGGATCAGACCCAAGAATTTCTCTGGCACAAAGAACTTATCAGGATGGGCTCAGCCCTACTCCTGAGTTCTGTTCCTGCTTTATCAGGTTGGGTTGAACTGGATTGGATTCCTGAGGATCTGATGGACATGGGCCCTGGGAATCTAGAGTCCCAACCTTCCTGACCTGCTCAGAATGCTGCAGGCCCTCCTTCAGTAGCCCCCAAAGCCTCTGCCCTGAGTGGAGGAGGCTGGGGCAATACTGATCCACCCTGGGACACAAGCTTCAGCACTGAGGGGACAACAGACCTCAGTAACCCTCTGTATTCTTGAGAGTAGAGCTGATTCCAGTAAAACAGCCTGGTTCTAGGCCCTTAAGGGATGCCAATGGAAACAGTGGACACACTAAGACTTGGACTAAGTGGTAAGAAGCTAGACCAGGTAAAGGCCACCCTACCAACACACACCTGGGAACTAGGAGGGAACATGAAGATCCCTTCAACATCCCCCCTATTCACATACCAAGCCCTGACTGTATTCACAACCAAGCTTTATTACTTTATTAGACTAAACAAACATATCAAGGGTCAGGGCATGGAAGGGAGGAAGTAGGGCCAGCTCCTGGGCTGGAGATGAGCCTAGAAAGGTTGTTGGTGCAGGAATTGGGTCAGAGGAACCAGGCATGATGGGGGCTGTGCTTACTGTCCAGGGGGAGTAGTGGGGAGGAAGTCACTGCTCCTGGGTGCCCCAGGAGATGTAGTCCGGCCGCGTGGCTGCATGGTACTCGTCTATGAGCTCCTGCACTACCTCCCTGGACCTGTCCAGCTCATCAAAGTTCTCCTTGAAGATGTCCTCCTTACGGAACTGCTCCAGGAAGGCTTCCCGCTTCCGTAGCTTGTCATACTGCTGGCAGGAACTTTCAAAGAGCTGAAAAAGATAGAAATCTCCAGTATGCGAGCCAGTGCAGGACAGAGGATTGGAATAGACTAGGGAAGAATGATGAAGGTGGCTGGCAGACAGTGGCCAAAAAAGACCAGGAGACTAGCCTCACCGAGGAGATGCTGGTGTGGTTGGCCATCATGAGCCCACTGACTCGATGGGCTGAGGGCAGGTAGGGAGACTTCCTTGACAGCGCCACCTGGATGCTGGCTGGGCCCCAGGGGATGAAGTTGGCCAACTTCCGTTCCCGGATCCTCTGCAGGCTCTTGTGGACCTGGGGTGGGCACCGGAGCAATGATGGTAGCCTCTCCTCTACCCCTGTGGGTTCCGAGGGTGAAATGAAGGGGCCTCCCCTACCTGGGTGGGGTCCACCTCCCCCTGGATGATGTTGAGGATGGCGATGTAGCAGTGGTTGGTCTGGCGATCTCGGCCTGTGGACACCATCACGTTCTTGGGCTGCAGCAGCCGCCTCATGACATCCAGGACCGTGGTCTTCCTCACGCTGGCCACCTGAGGGGAGAGTGGGCCGCAGGGGCAAGGCCAGCACTCAGGGCACAGTCCAGAGAGAAGTAGGCAACACATGTCCCCCACCAGACTCAGGGTAGTATGGTCTCTTTGGGGAACGTCTTTAGATTCAGGTCTATACTGAGCCTCTGCTGTGGGATCCCTCTGATCTGGGATCAGGAATCTTAGCCCTCCTCAGCTCAGCAAACTCATGCCCCTGTGCAGGAGCATAAGCAGACCCTGCACAGCCCAGGCCCTGCAGGGAGCCAAAGGCAGAGGGAAGAGGAGAGCAAGTCAGCAAGGAAGTTGTACAGTCTGTGCCAGTCCCTGGGCGCAGAGCCTCTGGGGGCTGCAAAGGGCAGCTTCTGGGGCCACAGGGAGAAGAGAAAGCCCAGGTCAGGGCCTGCTGGGCCCCGGGCCAGCCTGGCCTGAGACACCGAGGGCTGCTCTTACCGACTGGTCCGTGGTGAGGGGGGTGTAGCCGGTCATGAGGAAGTGGAGCCGTGGGGTGGGAATGAGCGAGGCAATGAGGCCGATGAGGTCGTTGTTCATGTAGCCAGGGTAGCGCAGGGTGGTGGTGCTGGCAGACATGATGGTGGACACCTGGGGACAGGGGTGCCATGTCATGGGCCTTGGCCTGGGGGGGCCTCCCTTCCCCAGCTGGCACTCCAGCAAGGAGCGGTTCCAGTCCGAACGAGTGGAGGAGTGGGGGCTCACCAGCTGGTTGATCTGGGAGAAGGAGGGGTTCTGGATGTGCAGGCGGTCTGTGGCAATCCGGTTCAGGGCTGTGTTGTCCAGCACCACCTGGGGGGACAGAAGAGGGTCACGGCACCTTTTTGAGGAGAAAGGGGGCAGAGAAATAAGTTATTAGCTTAGTCCCCCTCTAAACTCCAAAACCAAGAAGTGCGTTTGTTAATTTAAAAGGAAAGTACTGTGTCTGGGGTATCACAAGACACTTCTCTACCATCCAGTACAGTAAACAAATATTTGAGTGTCCCCATGTGTCACGCATTGTGCATGGCTCTGGAGATACCCTGGATTGTAAAACAGGCATGGTCTTCCCCCTCACCAGGTCTAGAGTCTAGTGGAGGGAGACTGACATTAAATATAAAATAAAAGTATAGTTACTGCCTGAAATATGCACAAAGGAATTTGACCTTGATTGGGTGGAAAGGAAAGTTTTGCTAAGAAAGTGACTCTTGGGCTGAGAATTTAAGCATGAGTAGGCATTAAATAGGCAGAGTAGGAGCACTTGGCAGGGGAGAGTATTCACTTTGTTGCGAGTCCACCTGCCTAACAGACTGTAAGTAACTTGGGGTCAGGTCCTTATTTCATAACTTGGGCCATCAGGTATGGCTTTGTTGGTCCTTTGTTCTCTGGGCAGGGGCTTGGGAAGGGCAGGGTGTATGTGTCTCACTGGTTTGGGGAAAAGCCCCCCACTCCCTCCTCCTATGCTCACCACACAGTCTGCGTTCTGGGTCAGCCTCTTGAGTGTGAGCAGCGAGTTGTAGGGCTGGACCACCACGTCGCTCATCTCATCCTGGTTGGGAAACACTGAGTACGTCTGCACCAGCTTCTTGGGGTACCTGGGGGTGAGGAAGAGCGAAAGGGAAGGTGGCACAGTGAATTGGAAGGCCCCCCATCATTGCCCATCTCTGCCTTCTCTAGGGTCTACAGGGGCCATTCCTTTCCAAGTGCCACCAAGCTCTTATGCAAAAGGGGTGAGGGCAGAACTGAGTCTTCAGAGCCCAGGAGCCAAAAAGGATAAGCCTAAAGATTCACTCTGTAGGTCTCCTCCTTCCCTAGGCAAACCTCTCTCCCCAGAGTTATTGCTTCCAAGATGTTCCCTGGGTAGCCAGGCTCTGATCCTACCTATGACTCAAAGGGGTAGTGGCAGACCTTCCAATCCAAGAGAAAAAAGTAACCAAAAGGAAAAACATTACCTAGAGAACTAGGGCTAATGCCTTCTCCCCAAACACAGGCTTACCTATCATTCAGTCGTTCGAGGAGGTAGGAGCCCAGGCCAGAACCTGTCCCCCCAGCAATGGAGTGACACAGCACGAAGCCCTGCATAGGAAGGGACAGAGAGGCAGTCTCCAGGGATCTGGGGAAGATGCTTCAGGCTTGTCTCCTTCCCACTCCCAACACACTCATGTTTCAAGGCTTCCTGTGTGTCCATCCAGGCTGAGGCTCCTTGGGAAGGAAGGCTCATGCCTAAGGAGCTGATGCCATCCAGACTAGGATCTCCTTGATGACAACTGTACCTTATTTACCCCGATATCTCACATCTGATGCTCAATAAATGAGTTTGGAATCGAATTGCCCCCATCACACCACCCATTCAGCCTACTACCTGACCTTCCCCAGCACTTTTTAGCCTTCTTTTTTTTTCTTCAGTGGGCAGAACCTCACCTCTAGGCTGTCACTTCCATCTGCTTCTCGGTCTATGATGTCAAAAATGTCTTCATGGATTTTCTCACCCTGTATAGAGACATGGGGAGGGAGGGTCAGGATGAAGTCTCTGGAGAGCATCTCTTTTCAGCACCAAGAACGCTACCCTGGGGCACTGCTGCTGTCCTCAAGCAGAGTCTCAGCAGGAGCCCTCAAACCAGAAATGCTACTTTGTAAATGATTTGCACAAAGTTTGCATAAACTCCCTGGCTATCCCTCTTGTTAGGGTATCCCTTTGTCTCTTATTTATTGTCAGTCTGGTCTGGTCAAATCCCCAGGCTGCTTGAGCCTGCCTTGTCCAGGGGAGGGAACATCAAGGGTCTCTGAGACGGCCATCTGGATACCTGGGAGAATCCGCTGGCCCAGTTGTTGCCAGCCCCTCCTCCATGCTCTGACAGGTAGATGTTCTCTGGGTTGTAGAGCTTGGCATAGGGGGAGTTGAGGATGGAGTGGATCACCCGGGGCTCCAGGTCCAGCAGCACGGCCCTGGGGATGTAGTGCTCATCGTCTGCCTGTCATGGGGAGTCCAGGAGGGGGCCCAATCAGCTAAGGCCAAGGCCCCCGTCCTCCCAGCTCTGCCTCCTGCCTGTCCTCCCTCCTCAAGCCAGCCGCCCTGGCTTCTCTGCCCAGCAAGTTTCCCAGCACCAGGCCGCTGCCTTCCCTTTAGGACCCCTGGCCAAGTCGCTGGGGGCACCTGGTAGAAAAAGACGTCCTTGCG